TTCTATTTAAACACAAGCAGGTATTTGCCTGTCTGGTCAAAAATTTAGCTAATTAGATAAAATAAATCACAACATTTTTTTTAATCTAATAAAGGACACTTTTTTATTTAAGTTTTAGATGCCCCAAGAAGACCACACGGTCTTGTCGCAGAGCACCGCAAAAGAGTATTTAAATAAGAAGTTTACGTTTTTTCCTTACTAATAGCGCTAAATATGTCCAGAGCACGCTTCGAACCCTGAACCTTATGCTCTACCCACTGCACACTGGATAGAGCACTTTTTTAGAGATTTTACAACAAAAATGGCATTATTTTATTTTTCAAACATTGGTAAAAATGAAAAAATCATATTAAACTAAATATGAGACCCGTAAGACAATTTTACAACGTTTTAATTTCTTAACAGTATATGTTAGTCTAATGAAATCATATATCAAAATAAGATGAAAAAATATAAAAATTTATCTTTTATGATTGTTTTTTTTCAAAGTTTTTTAATAAAACCCCTTAAAATGAGCAACCGTTTTTTTTAACACTTACTTTCACACAAGTAGAAAAACACTAGGCTGCAATAGGCCGCAAATGAGAGTAACTTTAAATTATACTAACATATACAGATAAAAATTTACAACCAAGTTTTCTGAGTTGAGCTGAGCACAGTAGGTGCTAGGCTTTTTTATTATAAATGATATCCAACCGTTGATTTTGCTTTAAAAAACTGAAGAAGACACATAGAAAACGATTTTAGATTTTTATTCTTTTAAGTCTTGTTAAAAACTTTTTTAAATTTTTTAAAGTTTTGGAGTGGTTAGAGTTTTGGCTCAGAACCCAGAAGTCCTAGGTTCGACGCCAGCTCCACCCCCAACAATCGACATTGGTATGGAAGGAGGTGTGAACTTCCTGTTAAATGCTTTCCGGCGGTGCTCTGTGATAAGACCGTAAAGACTTCAGGGAGCACCTAGATAACTACAAAAAAAAAAAAAAAAAAAAAAATTGTTGTGGAAACGAAAACTTTATGACGACTATGTGAATTTAGTTTTTTCGCTTAAACATAAAAAAAAATAATTGAAAAGTAATTATTTTTTTTTATGTTTAAGCGATATTTTAATGTACATTTTTGTGAATTGTTGTCATATTTTAATATTAGGTGAACATGTGAAAAAAGATGAAAGAGAAGGAACAGAAGATTTGATTATTATATTTATATATGCTTATATAAGTTTTTATTTATGTAAAATAAAGAGTTTAGTTTAATAAAGAGAAATTAGTTTGTTTACGAGAAAGAATGGGTTTTTTATTTCTCACTGTTGAAAGCGAGAAAACTACATCATCTTGTATTTTTAGTTTTAATGTCGTCTAAATAACTTTTCTAAAATGCCGTTTTCATCTAAAAAATTATATTTTAAATGGATCAAGTGTGTTTTGTGCATTTAAATAACGCCCAAAAAATAGAAACATTTAAACAACGCCCAAAAAACAGTAATTTAATTGTGAAAAATAGTCATTTTACACACCCTAATTTTTTACACTAAAATAACAAAGAACACTACTCAATGAAATTCCAGGCCCCAAACAAGCTATAACCATATGATGAAAATGTTTTGCAGCAACGGTATTAAGGTGTTCAGAATGAAGAAGAGTTAGGGAAAAGTCAAAGGTTTTAATCCAACTGAGGAGGCAAAGGGGCTCTTAATGTACTAATGTATGATGCATGTCGTCATCTAGATCCTTATATATATATATATATAAATTGTTGTTCATAAAGATCATTTTTATTAAACGTTATATGTTTATATTGGCAATATCAAAGAAATTAAGTACATAAAATAAATAAAGAAATACCGTCTTGAAAAACCATGACAGCACCTATGTACAATCATAACCACTCCTGAGATTAAACATGCCCATGTTTAAATTGACAAACCTCAAGTACCTATATTTAGACACACAAATGTTCCATTCAACTGAAAAACCATCGGAATATTCCAGTACCACCCTTGACAACCCCTGAAATGACCACCTGTACGGTTAGGACCACTCCGAGCAAAACTAAGAAAAATTTAATCATTCGATTATTGCGGTACAGCCAGGGTAAAGGAGCAAAATCAAATGCTAATTGTTGAAAAATAAGTTAAAAAACTAATTATAGTTGACACTGTTTATTATAAATTTCCTAAAATTCATTGGTATAAGAAAACAAAAAACCAAATGAAAAATTTTTAAAAATAACCTACGACAACCAAAGTAACGAAACACTAGACTTGCAATATTTTTTCATTTTGCAAGTGAGCGAGGCAAAACGAGAGAGTTAAAAAACAGCAGTTATGCGTTAACTGTAAAGCTTTAAAAAAAATAAAAAATGAAAGCTTTCTATCATTTAATATATTCAGTCATTAAACTCTCAAAAAAGTAACATACCCATATAAATTACACCCCCATTCACAACAATGAAAAAGTAACATACCCATATAAATTACACGCCCATTCCCAACAACAAAAAAGTAACATACCCATATAAATTACACGCCCATTCACATCAACAAAAAAATAACATATCCATATAAATTACACGCCCATTCACAACAACAACAACAAAAAAAAAAACAACTAAAAAACAATTTGTGTTTTATTATAAAATACTTATAAACAAACAAACTTAAGAAATTGTTCTAGAAAATTAAGAAAGGCAATACTAGTATATATTATTAAATTGGTAACTACAACTAAATTTGAATTTAAACAAAAAATATTATGGGTCACATAAGTCAACAGAAAATATCCTGAAACTATTTGGCAACATTTTTGACGAGTTACCTTATAAGCGATATTTAATGTAGAGCAAATTTAAATATGACATGTATCAGAAGCTTTTCTAATTCTAAATTCCCTTCACTTACAGTTAAAATTGCATTTCACTTAATTTTGAACAATTGATCTTAAATATATAATTTCTTACCATCGTTGTTTACATTAAACACTAATTGAAGTAAAGTAATAAAAATAATAATTTCTTTGAATTTATTACTAATATTGCTTTTCTAAAAACGGAAAATGATATTTTCGATTGAAATAAAATTATCAATCTGTAAACAGTATCATAAAATAGTAGTAATATAGTCAATTATGAGCTTGTTGTCCCGATATATCCCACAAAAGTCATTTTTCTGAAATTAATACTATTAAAAAAGTTCAATTCCAGAAAATAAGTCTCTAAAAACATAGACTTTTTAGAAATAAAGCAACTTATCAATAAATCAAAAAAATCTTTTGTCGTTGTATTGCTTACGAAATTATGCAAATTTTGTTTTTCACAAACTTACCGATGCATTTTGGTACTTTTAATGTATTTTGGTATTTCTAAAATTAATTTTATTTACAATAATGAAACTCAATAGTTTAAAATGTTTAATAAAAAAAAAACTTTGAAAAATTTTATTTTAACTTCAGACATAACTGTGCTCTGCTCTATTCTACACATTTGTATTTTTTTCTTTTATATTTATTGTATGAAGATAAACAATAAATGTAAAATAAAGAACAAAAAATAAAAAAATAAAAAAAAATCCTTATTTTAAATAACGTGTAAACTTATCTCCCCGCCTCAAAGAGTCAATCAATTTACTCCTCAAAGACTAAATTTAAATAAATACAATTAATTAAAAGAAATAATATATGTTATTATTTTTTTGCTTTTCGTAACTATTTTTCAAAGAATATCAAAAAATATTTAAATTTATAAAATATATTGGTTCAATAAATGTAAAACGAAAAATAAACCTTTTTTTTTTACTACTTTTTAAAATTTTATCATTTACAGCAAAATGTTGAACATGTAATTCTGTTGAGCATGTAGTTGTAAACGCATTTACCTCTTTTTTTTTTGTATAAAGATATATATGTAGTTGAGCTCAAGACTAACGTAAAGTCTTAGACATTTTTAAGTTATTTATAAATAAAGCATTTATTTGCCTCTACTTTAATAATTTTTTTTTTTTTTTTTTCTTTTTTTTTAATTTGAGTTTTCATGCTATATTTTTCTATACAATGTTTTTATATCCGAAGATATTGTTGGCTTAGCATTGGAACAGCCACAAATAGTCATTATGACTAATCCAAAGTAGCGTCCGTTATTGACCAACATTTTTGTGTACCGAAGTACTACTCAAGCGGTGGCGGGATTTGAACTCGTATCGTTCAACAGTCCGGGTTTTTTAAATTTTTCTTTAACGCTCTAACCATCTGAGTTATCCCGCCACTATAATAAAACAATAAAACTGATTTTTCTAAAATTTGAAAAATTTAATTGCAATTGGATATAAATAAAAAGTGTTATTGGTATATATAAGAAAATATTGTAGAGTTTATTTAGACGAAAAAATTAAAAAAAAAAAAGAATCTTTAAAGAATATGCTTTTTCTGTTTGTTTACGAAAAATTGTTTACGAACCAACTAGACACGTTTACTTGTTTAGTTTCAAACTTTTGATTCATATATACACTTTATTCATATATTTATTCATATTTACACTATAAAATCCTTTATTAAATTTTTTTATTATAATTTAGAAAAATTTAAAACACCCGGAAAAAAAAACGTTTAATGTAAATTTGACGCAGATAGTGCTTTTAATATTTACGAAAACTACAAAACTTAAAAGTTATAAGTTTTATCTATTTTTTTATATTGAAGATAAAAATTTTTTAAAGTATTAGAACACGTTAAGTTCTGTAGAAATTTTACCTAAAAATATGAAAGTTTTAAACAAAATCCACCTAAAAATATGAATGTTCTTTGGAAATACCACCTAAAAATATGAAATTGTCGTCTATGTTGTCTATGTAGTCATTATTGCCTATGTTGCAAAAAAAAAAAAAAAAAAAAAAAAAAAACTTGTAAAGTTGAATATTGTTGTTGCGTTTTTTTTCACAAGCATAAAATAAACTTTTACTTAAACAAAAAGGTCATTAATGGAGAGAAAACAAGGAGGTAGGTTATACTTACCATCCCATAAATAAGAGCAAATAAAGCATAATAGATCTATCAAAAATCCGAAAATGTGTTCCTTTTAAATGATACGATGACTTGATTCATTATGCAAACGTCATTCTATTCTTTTTATCAATAAATTCGCTATATATTTCTAATTATTAACTTTTTAGTTATAATAAATTATAAAAATTTTAAGAAAATTAACATTAAGTGTATTCGACAAATAATTGAACTTTTTTTCCTAACTTTTTTCTATAAATATTGTAGCTTTACATGTTAAGAGGCCTTAAACTTTAATAAGTTTCATTCGTAAATGACTTGTTAAAATTTTGTTCACGAATGATTTATTTATGAGTAGGTCATACACTTTAGTAAACTTTAACATTTTCACGAATAATTTATTTTGGTGTATCCTGGTACACTTAAATAAACCATTTGTGAAAAAGTAATATTAAATAATTAAATCATAATTTACGTTTGTTTAAATTATTTACGCCGAAAGGTTACGCTGTAATGTTACGCTGTAAGCGTCTTTTAAGTTTAAACGCCAGATTATAAAAAGAACGAGATAGATATATATCCACATGCATTACATAGGAAACTAGAAATGCATATTTTATGGGTAAAAATATTAAAATTAATGAGAAAAAAAAAAAAAGGAGGAAAATTTAGCAATCAGTACAACACAAACTGGGTTCCAAATAATATTGATTTTTTTTCCTATTGCCAATAGAAGTTGTTAAATTTTAATTTTTTTTTTTCAATGTAACTTTTTTTTTTTTTTTTTTTTTTTTAAGTAATTTAAAGCATTTCCTTTTTCACAACGAGAAAAAAAATATGTATATGATTTATAAAACAAAAATAAACTATGCGAATAAATTCCAAAATTATCATAATTTACCATTTCTTAGTGTTTTAAAAAGTATATAATCAAAAGAAAAATCTTAGACATTAAAAAACATCTTTAAGGAGTTTATTGTTATATAATACAAGTCTTATAAAATTATAGATAAAGAAAATTCTTCTATAGATATAACGCTTTATTTTAAATTGTTTTTAATACAATATTTTAAGGGAGTGTAGACAGCCTCGTTATCAAGTATAATATCGTACTTACCCATTATATTGCTAATAATAGTTATGTCAAAAAAGTTCAGCATGTTATTTTTATTTGTACTGAATATTTTTATGTTGCATCTCAGTACAGTTAAAACGTGAATGTGAGTGTTCGACATATCTTTAAAATGACTTAACATTGTTATTATAGGGTATCGCTTGTGTACTAGCATTGCTTTTATGAAAATGTAAAAAGCATTCCTAAACTACTACCTCAAGTCCTAAACCAATAGTTCCAGAATCTTCAAGTTCATAAATGTTGTCTTCATATAAAAAAATATGCAAAAGACATTTGTCTAAAAGTGTTTTTATTTCATCAAAGATGAATTTCGATGTGAAGCTCGGATCATGTCTTAATCTTTCAATAAATACAACTGTTGCTTCTGTTATTGGAACTAAATAGTATTAGTTGATGAAATTGAAACACACTTGAACTTCATCTTTGTCAATATTCTACAATTTAACTATGTTTCTAAATCCTTAAGAATTTTTTAAAATGTGTTTTGTTTTTAATAAGGATAGGTTGTCTTTTATCAGTTAAGAAATTTAAAATTTTGTGCATAACAATGAGACTTACAAACAAGGTGGTATAGCATCACTCGGGCATAGATCTTTATATTCTTTTCCCGTAAAACAACTTGCTTTATTTAGTATTCTGAGTGTGTTTTAAATTTTGCGAATTACTTTTTTTTTGCCCTCTAGATGTTCTTGTATTTTTAAATATATATATAAATATGTGCGTATGTATATAAATATACATACGCACATACATACACTCACATATGCATGCACATGTTGATTAATGTCAAACTAAATGTGTTCAAAAACTTAAAGATCAAGAGGATATATAAAAAAAATTATTTTATGACAAGTTTATTCACAACAAAACAAATAATAGACTATTTCTATAGTTTCATTGTTGTCCTCCAAACTTTAACGTTTGATATGTCACAACAGTGCACAGTGGGTCAGAGGTGAATAAAACCCCTCAAAACTTTATAAAAACTTATGATTTATAAAAATTCTCCAGATAATTTAAGGTATCTGCTGGTGTAAAAGGAAAGCTTCAGGATTATGCGTATTTGCCTGCATGCTTTTTAATAATAGAGCTTTTATTATGCTAAACATTTTTTATTCTTTTTTTTTTTTCTTTAAATTTGTATTTAAATTTTTCATAACCAATACAAAACTTAAAAGGTATAGTTAAAAGACATTAAGAACTATTATTTTTATTTATAAAATTTTAAGAAAGTGTTTTATATTATATTGTGTTACGTTTTTTTTTAATTTATTACGCTATTTTATATTTACGGTATAGATTAAGGGGCATGGTGATAAGACAAATTATGTCTTCTTCTTGCCCCTGCTATTTGTATATATGTTATGCTTTACGACTTGAATAAATTTATAAAAAAAAAAAAAAAAGAAAATAAATTAAAAAAAGAAAAATAAATTAAAAAAAAAAAATTTATTAAAAAAAAAAATAAATAAATAAAATTATAAAAAAAAAAAAAAAAAAAAAAAAAAAAAAATAAATTAAAAAAAATAAATAAATTTATAAAAAAATAAATTTATAAAAAAAAAAAAAAAAAAAAAAAACCAACAATATTGGAGTAATTTTTTTAAAATTAAAATCTTTTTATAAATGTAATCGAAACTCTCAGCACCCTAAAACTGATACAGTTTTACAGTTTTTTCCCAGCTGTGATTTTTTAGCTCTGCACATCAATTTTACTACAAAAATGGTAATATTTTATTTTTAAAATATTGGTGAAAATGTCAAAAATTATATAAAAATGAAATATGAGGGCATCAAGTTAATTTTGCAACGTTTTAAATTCTTAAAAGTTTTTATTAGTCCATTAACATCATATATTAAAATAAGAAGAAGCTTTTTTTCAAAATGTTTTTCAACAAAACCCCTTGAAGTGCGCAACATTTTTTTTAACACTTACCTTTACACAAGCCGAAAAGCACTTGGTTGCACTAGGTCGCAAGTGCGATTAACTTTACACTCTCATATATAGATAAATTTACAACTAAACTTTCTGAGCTCAGCTGAGCTCAGTAGGTGCTAGGCTTTTTTATCATAAATGATAGCCAATCGTAGATTTTGCTTTAAAAACCAAAGAAGACACCTAAAGAACTGTTAAAATCTTTTTTTAAATATTACTTTTAATGGTATTGTGAAAAGTTATCAAACATTTTATAAAAGAGGAGGGAACAAATAAGGATTTGAAGACTGGGAACAAATAAATCCCAAAAATTCATTTCTTCCTCATCCCAAACGTGTGGGCAACAAGTTAATAAAATATTTTTTTGTACTATTCTCAACGAGATTTATATTCATCTATAAATTTTAAGTTTTATAGTATTATCTCTCAGCGTTCAATAACTATAACCATATAAAATTTGTAACTTTATACGGTCATAATTTTTAAACTCTGAGAGATAAAACTATGAACTTAAAATTTATCAATGAATATAAGTCTAGTCGAGAACAGTACAAAAAATATTTCATCAATTTGTTGGCCTCACGTTAAGGGTGGGTGATAGTTGTGTGACAAAAATTTGGGGTTTATTTGTTCCCAGCCTCCAATAATCGCAATTTTTCGCAAACCATCATAATTTGGCATAAGTATAAACATGAAAATGTTTGAAGTTTGCTCCATGTCTGCAAGTTAGATATCTCAAATACCAAATATCCTGGATCTGTCACTGAAGAGAATATTTATCAGTTGTATTTTGTTTTTCTTAAAAAAAAACAAATTAAAATAGAATTTTCTTAAAAAAAAAAGATCTTTTAGAAAAAAAAGTGGGGGAGGGAGCCACGTACCCCTGGCCCCCCCGGTGTCGTCGGCCCTGTTTTTTTTTGTACATGTTTATTTTACAACTACAAACTATTTACGAATCATAGGTTGGTGGTAAAGATATACAAATACAAATATCTTAAACATAAAGTTCAAAATAAACGAAGTAAATAAAAATATAGTTGCATGCAACTCCGAGACATGATTAAAATAAATACCTAATACAATTACATAATCACGCGAACATAAAAAATAATTCCAGAAATATATCTCTATATTCTTTCAATTAAAATAAAAAATACAAAAAAAAAAAGTGAATCTGCTAATTTTTCGGCGGTGTGTTTAGATGTTTCACTATACGTTTATTTACCTCATTTCAAAATAATGTTTGTGTAAAAACATTTTAAAAACGAAATTTGTATAAAATTGATAAAAAGAGTTACTTGCTTGTAGTTATTTATGTATTCAAAAAGCTTTTATTTATGGAAAAAGAAAAGTTTAGTGTAGTAAAGAGTTAAAATTATCTTGTTTACGAGTAAAAAAAGTTTTTTAATTTCTCGTTGTGTTGAAAGCGAGAAAAGTACATCGTCTAGTACTTTCAGTTTTAATGTCGTCTAACGAACTTTTTTAAAATTCCGTTTTTATCTAGAAAATTATACTTTTAATGCGTCAATGTGTTTTTTTCATTTAAATAACGCCCATAAAATGTAAAAACAGCATTTTAATTGTGAAATATCGTCATTTTATGCACCATAATAATAATGTTTTAGACCAAAACAACAAACAGCATTTCTCAATGAAATTCTCCAGGCTTCAAAAAAATTATGTTCTTATGATGAAAATACTTTGCGGCTACAATACTAAAGTGCCCAGAATAAAAAGGAGTCAGGGAAAATTCAAAGACTCCAATTAAACTGAGAAGGCCAAGGAGCTCTCGATGTACTAATGTATGATGTACGCATCATGATTGATTTATGATAAAAATAAATTCACTCATGCATATCCTTTACTTAAAAACTTGAATGCTTTATATATCTATCAAATTAACATCTACCAAAATATTTTATTTATGCTCAAATATAAAGCTCGGAGTTGTGCCAACTCATTTTCCTAATAACTTTTTTTAAACCAACGCCAACAGATATATCACACGAGGAACCGGAAACTTTACCTTGCCCATAAAAAAAAACAAGTTGTTCAAGATTTTCAATTGTCATACCGTGGCCCCTATTTATACAACAAAATATTACCTCAAAATATAGAACTTAATAAATTGGATAATCTTATTTCCCTGAAGAAAAAACTAAAAGATCTCATAATTAACAAAACCAATTTTATCGATATGTATTAAATATAAAAGAACAATTTATAAAATAAAATGTAAAAAGAATAATTTAAGCTATAAAAATAAATAAATAAATAAAAAAGAAATAAAAACTAAATTAAAAAAATATTATAATAAATACATATAGTTAGCAACTATACATAGTAAAATATTACTGAACAGATGACTTTAAAAAGTTAATGTGTGTTTTATAGATTTACTCTTTAAATTTTTAGTTTATTTTGCATTTTAAAGGTTCTCGATGAAAAGATTTTTCTAAGTCTTCTGCGAGTTTCCTTACAACTACATAGTACTTTTAATATATACTAATATATAGTTTCAACGACAACGTCAAGCAAGTCCCTAGTAGCCCTGTGGTGCGACAGACTTGCGTATATTTTTTGAATGCATGGGTTAATATCCAGCTCTTTATATTAAAAACTACGAATTTTTAAGTTAATTATTTTAATCTCCGTGTTAATATTGTAACTTGTTAACGCTCTTTATATATTGTAAATATTTGTGGTAGACATTTATATAAACTGGAGACATGTAAATGTTATTTGTTTTTGAAATATATAATAATGATTGTTGTAAAAAAAAAAAAAAAATGTATGTCATCACCTAGATTCTTATATATATATATATATATATATATATATATATATATATATATATATATATATATATATATATATATATATATATATATATATATATATATATATATATATATATATATATATATATATATATATATATATATATATATATAAATTTTGTTAGTAAAGTTCAACTTTATTGAACTTTATTTGTTTATACTCACAATGTCAAAGAAATTAAGAACCCATGGTCACACCTACCGTTGCAATCACATCTACCAGTGCAATCAAAACCACTCCTAGAGTACAAATATAGCCAGATTTGATTTTCCTGATATCAACTATTACCAATATTTATATATACAACATGTACAATCTAATTGAAAAACTATCTGAATATTCCAGGACCACCCGTAACCACCCCTAAAATTTTCACCTGAGCGGTCATGACCACCATTGAAGACCAAATATGCCCAGTTTCAAATTCCCTGACCGCAATTACTTATATTTAGACATACAACATGTCCCATCTAATTGAAAAACTTCGGGACATCTCATGACCATCCTTTACCATTACTAAAATGACGTTTTGAGCGGTCATGATCATTTCTAAAGACCAAATATACCTAGATTTGAATTCTCTGACAGCAGTTACCTATATTTAAATATACAACATGTCTCATTTAATTAAAAAACCATTGAGAAACCCCATGACAACCCCTGACAACTCCTAAAACAATTACTTATGTGCTCATGAACAATCCAAAATTAAAATAGAGCCCAAAAATGAAATCCTTGGCTCCAAAAACTTTTATAAACATGTATCATATGTTTATATATATTCCATAAATAGTTTTGCCATTTTTAGACAATTCTAGCCAACTGTGCAATGTTATGAAATGAACAGTTTGAAATCACAAATTTTGGATTTAAAAAAAAAATTAATGTCTATCATAACGACTAGTACTCATTTGCTCATGATCTAACTAAAACTCATGATGTTCCAGAACCAAAACTCTGTGGCAGGCAACTATATAGAGATAATTATCCCTCAAACAATGTTTCTTGTTATTATAAATATTGCATTGCATCTCCCAGTATTGATCATTTAGTTAATAAGTTTAAATATAAATTTAATGACGGTTAGATAATTATTTACTAACGTTTATCTTGTATTCCTGCAAATGCAAAAGAAAAAAGTAAAGAATTATTATATGTGAAAGATAAACTTTTTTGAGTTTTTGCATTTTCATATATCAGACATGCTTCATTCTTCATTAATTCATGTGGAAATAGAATTGTGGGAAACATTTTGGAGCAGTCACTCTGTAGTCCCATCAACTGTTAGAGACGCTTTTAAACCTATGGCATGAAGGTTTTTCAAAATATAAGAGAAGATTTCTAATAATGGAAGCAATTTCTATTAAAACATGCAAGTGTGACCGTAACGTTACTATTATAAACTAAAAGAACACACAAAACCGCATGCTAAGGTTTATTTCTTTAGATTTGATGTCTATTCAACATGAATCCCTGATGTTAAAAGGGTTTAAAATATTTTTTTTTGTTTCGGAAAAACAGCGCTTAGAATTAATTTTTACACAACTTATTATAGTATATCAGCAACATTTTTAAATATTGACATGACTAACTTATGATTAATGTACTGGCTAATAAAAATATAAGATTTTAATTATAAATAACTAAAATCTTACATTTTAGTGAATTAAAAATATTTAAAAAACTTTAAAAAAAAATTTAGAAAAGTTGTGCATAACTGCCTGTAAATTAAAATAAAAGTGCAGAAATAGGGATAAATATTTGATAAAATTAGAAATAATGTAGATTACCTGACTATTAAATAAAAGGAAACAATCTTAAAATGGAAGGCTGACCTAAAGCAACAGGACTAATATTTTACATAAATGATTATCAATAAAAAGATGGAATCCAGAAATGGAGGGCTATCCTATAGTTACAATATTAATAATTTACATTAGACGCTTATCAAGAAAAAGAAAAAATCCAAAAATGAATAGCTAACCATAGGCAGCTTAAAAAATTACAGATGGAATATAAAGTCTTAAGGATTACCTTCTAGTTGGTGCACTTACCATCTCGTTGGCGCTCTTAGATTCTTGTTGGGGTATTTTGTTAAGCGAGTTATACAAGTTTTAAATGTATTTAGTTTTAATCACTTTGCAAACCTTTATGAAAATAATAATATTTTTTTTCATAGGTTGCTATACATATACAGCAAGATGTTAAAAACATTTCAGTGTTTTTTGAGGTGCAATTTTTGTTTTGAATTAAAACTCTAATACGTTTCCAACTCTTTTTTTTAATGATATAATTGTTATAATTTGTTCATTATCTAAACATTTGAGCTTAAAATATTTTTATTTGAAGTTTAAATCAAATTTTTAAAATTTAAGTTAAAGTTATTTAATCAATTTTTATTTGTAAACCATCTTCATAGTATATGAGCAGAGAAATTACTAAAAATTGATTTCCATATTTATTGTGCGCCTTCAGCTTGAGCCGACTACAGCGGCATTAAACATACGTACCTTCTGCATATGCATATGCATCTTCCGTTTTAAAGTGGAAATGTAATTTCCAAATTTATATATATTATGAAACTCTATATTATTGAAGCATATCTGAACAAATATAGGCAAAATTTAAACAAACAAAATGTATGTCAGAAAACTTTCCTCGTAAAATGTTAAAAATACTGTTGTGGTGAGTGTGCATACATCAATTGATATTGGTATAGGAGCGGTGCTAATTAAAAATCACTCCAATGAGCGTACATATTTTATGAACAATCTCTAAATGACATTGCAATAGCTACTTCAAAGTTAACAAAAGTCGTATATCTCCTTACCTCCACTGTACTTTCAAAGACAATTGCGGCGGCCTTATAAACTTTATGCTTACAAAAACTCTCTAGTGACAACCGCCTATGACATCCTTCTCCACAAAAAGTTGCCTTTTCGGCAAAATGTTATTTTGCCACCGACAGGCATTATCAGCTCTGGCTTTTTTTGTACAAAAAGTTACAACTTTTTAGATTTCGTTACCAAATATATATTTTTTGCATACGTGCATAACCTTGAACCCCAATCCCTCCTGTGGGCAATCATACATATTTATAGGGTCCAACCCTTTCCGCACTCACTCGTTTATAAGTAAATAATTTATAAATGGCCCTTTGTGTTTGTCTTCAAGTTTTATTACATATTTGAAAAATTTTATTAAAATGTGACTAGTTCACACATATTTCGCATAATTTATGCTATAAATGATAAGTTGAAATATAATTGAAGTTGGGCAAACTTATTGTTTTTCCTTACCAACTAAGAGTTTTTATTCTAGCCACCCACATAAAATCCATTTAAATTTTTTAAATTTTTCAATATTAGCCTTTTGAATAGCCAATGTATTTAATTTTTATTTTTAGATTAGAATTTTGATCTATGATTCAGTTTATTAATCTATCATTCAAAATAATTAAAAAAATCTTATAAAAGTTATTCCATTTTGCATTAATAATACTAAATTTTACTTATTCTATTAAAACATTTCCATCCTCAATCAAGCAGTTCTCAATAAGTCGCAGGTAAATTTTAAAGGAACAAAACTGCTAAACTTTAAAACAATTCAATTATTAACAAATAATGAAGCATTGAAGTGAATCGTGGTTGCGCAGATATTTCATAACTTTTAACAGTTATGAAATATCTGAGAAATCAAAAAAGCGCCATAAAAAGATTTTTTCAAGTTTTTAAGAACGATTTCCAAAAAAGAAGGATAACTGTACGTTGTAAACACAAAAGTTTTATAAAAAATAATAAACAATGGCTCAAATCAAGCATCAAATTACTTAATAGGTCAATAAAAGTTTGACAGAACTACCTTTTCTCCTAGTCACCTCTTCCCCAAGCTTCTGCGGACCCATTCGAATACGCTTCATTAGTGAATCGAAAGACATAACAATGGACAAGGTAGAACACTTAAAAACCAAATAATGAATCTTAGAGAAACAAAGAAGCCCAAAAAAATTGGAAAAATAATACTTACCTTGCTTTTTACAATAGGAAAGTGTGCAACGTTGGAACTGATACTACATCTACTATGAGGTGCTTCATTTGTTGACAAACATCAAAAATTTTTAAGAAATTTATTAAAAATAAGCAAATCAATACAGAAGCCCTCTTATTTGGACTCTCGATTCTTCATGCAAGAATACGCTTCTTTGAATCGTTTCTTCATTTAGCTTATAAAATACCTTTACAAAAGTGGCAACCTCGATCAAACGAGGTAAAAAAAACTGTCAAGAAGATTTTTTTTAAACCTAAAATTATCTTCACAAATAACTTGTGTTAATTTGAATTTAATAAAGCTTTTACACGTTATTCTTTAAATCATTTCAAGAGGATATAAAATTGATGCTGTTAAATTCGACGCTTTTGCTCATAAAACTGCTAAAATGTATACCAATCTGTATGGTTGGTATCCCATGTCTCCAACTATGCATAAAGTTTTGATGCATGGCGCAGAAGTAATAGTTCATGCAGTCCTCCCTATCGCCCGGTTATCTGAGGAAGCGGCTAAAGTCATAATCAAACACTTTCGGCAGTACAGACAAAATTTTAGTCAAACGCTCTCGTATTGACTATAATACAGACGTATTAAATAGACTGCTATTAAGTTCAGACCCATACATAAGTAGTTCCAGATCAAAATGGCGCAAAAAACGTTACCTTTTTTAAAAGAGGCAATCTTATCTCAGGCAGGCAGTGATTATCTTAGAATGAAGATTTGACACGCAAATTTTTTAAAACAAATAAGTCTTTTTTTTATTAACAATTTTTTTTAAACGTTTAATTTTGACAAAATACTATGTTTCCAACTAAAAAAACTGAAAAAAAAATCCATAAAATATTTTTGAGTGGTTTTGACATACAAAAACTCCAATGTGGAACGTTTAAATGAGACGACCATAAGCCTTTCTAATGAGACCGACTGAAAAGTCGTCTCTAGACGTCTTGAAATTTGTCTTTAGGACGTCTGGAATAAACTTTCTTGAGTCTTTAATTTGAGACTAACTAAAGATGTCTTGTGGGCGAGAAATGAGACGTCTTATGGATGTCCTTAGACGTCAGTATGCCCGCTGATCAGCAACATCATCTTTAAATAATTTTAGCATTGACCTTGAACAGAGCAATAATGCGATTAAAGACTAGAATATCACAGTCGGCGAAATAATTTAAGGTTAAGTGGTATTAAAGAAGATGATAATGAAACTGGACAAGAGTGCGATATAAAAATACAAATTTTGTTAAATTTAAAACATAGTATTAAAATGCTATTGTAATCGAAAAAGCGCATCAAGTTTGAAAAAAAGAACATGGTGAAAAATTTGGTAGGCTCTCTTGTCAAACCCCTATTCCGACGTTGAGCGTCCTTTGCGTCCGCGAGCTTGTATTTCTAGAAAATAGGCGAAATGGGGTATATAGGGATTTGCGCTGCGGTGTGCACATACACCGACTGATTTTTAGAGAGAACATGCAGCGGAGTGTGGAAACAACGATTGAGGGTTTGGAGTAGGCAGGTTCTCTTTTAAATACAAAAGTCGTTTTTTTACATTTTCGGACCTTAAGGACATACGTCGGAATAACGGTTTGACAAGAGCCTACCGAAAAATTTAAAAACAGATCTATAGTTGTAAAATTCTTTAATTATAATTAATTTATTTATAAAATTTAATTATAAAATTCTTTAGTTATATTCTTATAATAGTTAAAACTCTAGACAGGTCGTATATACATTTACAAAGATTATAGCGAGAGAACAACGGAAATAAGAAGTATTTGTTTATGAAAGTAAATATTTATGCAAGCTAAAGAACTATGAGAAAAGGATAAATATGCGAAATATGTTTATAATAAATTGATAACGCGTGATATTTTAGAATAAGAATTATTTTATTTCAAACATTTTTTAAAACTTTAAGGTTCTTTTATTACTAAAACGGATTCCGTTCTAGTTAATGATTTAAATTGGCGTCTTTAATTTTAAACAAAAAATTTCATAATTATTATAGAATATTTTTTGATTAGTGCAGATACTACTGCATATATAAACAAAACTTTTATTTAAGACGAAAATCATTATTATTACTTTTGTGATTATAAATCATAAAGTTTGATATTACTAATAAAAATAAATTTTTAGTGTTACAATTTTATATATAGGTTTCGCTGTCATTTAATGAAGATATGATAAACCAAGAAGATGTCTACAATTCAGAAGAAGATACGCAAAGAAATAGAAAAAAATGGAATAGTATTTCTCGAAAGTTAAAAATTCAAAGAACAGAAGAATTCTGAAAAAATGTAACAAACTTGCTAAAATCGAAAATATTGATCTGAAAGAGGTTTATGATTTTCTATTATCTAGATGCTCATCCTATAGCTGTGTCAAAACTACTCAAATAACAACTGTGACAGCTGTTTCAATCTGCTGAGATTCAATCGATCAGCATAAGGAAAACAGAGGAAAAGAGCTAACAATATTGATGTTTACCCAAGCTGGAAAGAGGTTCAAGACTTCAAAAATTCTATTACTCCTCTGAGAACCGTTCCCCTACCTGAACCATATATTGGAGTTTACTCTAACTTTACCGAGTCTGTCAAAATCACAGTAGCCCGAATTCTAAAGCTTGAAAATGTCCATATAACAGATGAACTAACAAATTTAGTTATTGAAATTAAATTTGGATATAATGGCAGTGGAGGACATAAAATATATAATCAGCTACACAATGTAAATACCAATAATATAATCATGGCAATGTTTTGTCCTCTGAAACTTTTAACGTCTAATGCAGATGGAAACAACTTAATATGGGAACAAATATCCCCAAACTCAGATTTTTCACAGAGGCCTCTTATGCTTCAAATGGGAAAAGAATCACGTGAGAATGCACAACCTTTATCCGTTTTTAATGTGGATATTAAAACAATGAAAGAGAAGGTTTCATTATTATCTTCAATATTTGAATAATAAAGTAAGCATTGTTGCAGACAGTTTTGAGAGAAAAGCATCAAATATATATCAGGGCCTTGGAGGTGTTTACTGTGATCATTGTGATTTATCTAAGGAACAATGTAAAAATATATGTACAATTGAACAGGGATTCGTTATAAATAGAGACATTGAAACCATGGAGCAGATATTTTTGGATTTAGTTCAAAAAGACGGCTCTTTAACTAAAAAGTCAAAGGATTGTGATGTTCGCCATGGATAAACATCAAGTCCAATAGCTGGATCTAACGTAAGATCTGTACAAGTACTTCACGCATTACTCCGTGGATTTTACCACTTTATGAAAGTTGTGGTTCATTTAGCTGCAGGAGTTCACGCATGGACAGAGTCTGAGACAGCCAGTACTACGCACTTCCTTGAAATAGAGAAAAAATATATACAGGAGTTACTACAGTAGTACTGTAGTAACTCCTGTATATATTTTTTAGTACTACAACTGACAATTCTTCTTTATAATGAGAAAAATAGAAAACTGATTACTGACTACATTTCAAATAAACATGCCAGAATGTTAGAGGAGCGGTACAGTCTCTTCTTGTCTAATATTATTTGTGCTATGTCATCTAGTCAGAAAATTAACATAAAAAAATATAGAGAAATATGTAAGGAGACAAACATTCTTCTTCGACAAAAAATGTCCTGGGTTAGTTTGACACCGACTCTTCATAAGTTATTAGGACATACTTGGGAGCTTATTGAGTTAAATAATGAAACCGGACTTAAATCATGGAGCGAGGAAGGCATAGAGGCCAACAACAAACAATTCAAAATATTTAAAGAAAAACTATCAAGAAAAACAAATCAGTTGCAGAACTTGGAAAATTGTTTTAAAAGACTCTGGGTTGGTTCTGACTAGAGATGTACCGGATATAGCATTTTACGTATCTGGCCGGGTACGGAAATGCCGGATTTAAAATTTCATATCCGGCCGGATATGCCGGATATACCGGATATATTAAAAATTAGGATAGGATTTAGTTTTGATGTTTGTTTTTAGTCAAATTGGGAAAGTGCAAAATAGTGTGTAAATCCACAAAAAAAAAAAAAAAAAAAAAATTGTATTACATTTTGCATGTCTGTCTGCATAATTGGATTATCTGTTTTTATTGTAGTTTGAAAATTTATTAACAATTAATTACGTAGCAATAACTTTAAAATTAGTTTGCTATCTAAATTTCCAAACTATGTATTATTACTTTAATTTTTTTGTTATGTTTTTTTATTGTTTTCTTTACAATGTAACAATGCATTTGGAATCTAACAATGTTTACATTGAAAGTTAATAATGCAATATTAATTTCAATGTAGTATTTATACACTGTATAGATATCAAAATTACCATCTGTATAATACAGATAAATATCTTGGTATCAAATGTATGTGTATAATTATTATACACATACATTTGATACCAAGATATCTATTAAATATTTAACTATTATACTAGAATAGTTAAATATTTAATGTAAATTGTAAACACGTTTAGTTTTATATTTCAGACACATAATAATGCAGAGCTTTATCTGGTCATTGTATAAAATAAATGATGCAAGTGATGTGTATGCAAACTGTAATATCTGTAAAAAAATGATTAAACGTGGAACTATGGAGGCTAGGCAAAAATGTTTTAGTACAACACCTCTGCATAACCACATCAAAATAAATCATCCAAAAGAATATCATATAGAACGAAATAAAAATAAACAGAAAAGAAAAGCTCAGGCTGTCAATAAAATCACACCAGAACTAGTACTACAGTAAAAAAAGAGACTGTTTCGGAAACTTCTAAACAAACTTCAATAGATGAATATTTAAAGTCACAAAAGGTATGGAGCATTAATGACTCTAGGTCGCAAACTATTCATCGTAAAATTGGATTGATGATGGCCTTAGACAACCAGCCATTTACTTTAGTTGAAGATACAGGTTTTAATAACTTAATGAACCATTTAGAACCCAGATATTGCATGCCAAGTAGACAATTTTTTTCTAAAACAATAATACCTCAACTTTACATGGAGTTAAATAATAAAATTTCTGATAAATTAATAAAAACAGATTACATAAGCTTTTCTTCAGATATATGGACATGCCCAATTTCTCATGAATCATTTATTTCATTGTCTAGCCACTCCATCGATAAAGATTTTAACAGATTTGATGTGTTATTACATGCTTCTCATTTTCCTGAAAGCCATACTGGAATAAACATATCCAAAAAGTTAGAAAATATGTGGGATAACTAAAAAATTCAAGCTGAAAGACCACATATTCTTGTAAGAAATAGTGCAAGCAACATTATAAGTGGGAGTAATCTAGCTGAAATTCCCGTAATCCATTGTACTATTCATTTACTTCAATTAGTTGTTTTAGATTCAATAAGTGAAAATATTGTAATTGATGTTCTTTCAAAATGTCGTCGACTTGTAACTCATTTTAACCATTCATCTCTAGGATGTAACAACTTTCAAGATGTCCCAACAAGATGGGGCAGCACTTATCTTATGCTTGATAGATTAAACAAGTTAAAAATTCCAGTTCAACTAAACTTAGCAGAACGTTCTGATTTAATGCCCTTTTCTACATTAGAATGGACATTAATATTAAACATTATTAAACTGTTAAAGCCTTTTTTCCAATTAACTCAGGAAATGAGTTCAGAAATAACAACTTTGTCTTCTGTAATTCCAAATAAGTGCTCATTGAAGAAATTTATGTCAAAATGTCAAGTTGATTTAAGTATTCAAGAAACAAAGAATCGGCTTACAACTTCTTTAAAAAATCGATTTTTTTCTGAAATAAATTATGCGAAGTCTTTAAACATTTTGAAAAATAGGTACTATGTCATAGCTACTTCAATTGATCCAAAATATAAGTTTTCTTTCTTTGAGGATGATATCAAAAAACAGGCTGAGTACTGGTTAATAAATGAAATTTTATCCTTTGAAAAAACTCTTGTTTGTTCTGAAGAAGTAGATTTTAGTGTAAATGAAGAACCATCACAATTAAATTTTTCAATTAATACTGAAAAAGAAGACACTCTTGAAGCATGTTTCAAAGAAATTATAAATGCAACATTTGAAAAAACATTACCTTTCAAAAAATTAAAGTTAGAGAAAAAATCAAATGAGATTTTGATTAGAAAAGAAATAAAAAAGTTTTATTCTGAACCACTTAAGGACAGAAAACTCTGTCCAATAAAGACCTGGATGCAAGAAGAACGATTCCCTCTTTAAAAAATCAATTACTCCAAAACATCTATGCACTCCTGCATCATCCATTTTTTCTGAAAGATTTTTCTCAGAATATGGTAATACCTATGAGAAAAAGAGATCTAGGTTATTGCCTAAAACAGGAGAAATGCTTTTGTTTATTCACCATAATGGGAGGAAAATAGAATGACTCTTTGCATTTACTCATTTGTTGAAATTTTATTTGTTATGTTCTTTGATAGTATTACTAACTTTCTAAAACATTTTGTTTCATTGAATTTAATAATTTGATTTAAGAGACATTCATAAAGTATGTATGCAGGTATGGGAGGCGACATTATCTAAAAATGTTTAAATATTATCTAGTAAACCATTTTGATTTAGCTCTCAAAATTAAATTTTTACTTAAAAAATAAATTACCCTCCCCTGAAAAAATGTATTTATTAAATAATTCTTAATAGTTTTTCAAACCTCTTTGTGCTCTGGGAAGTTTAAATTAAAGATAGGCTTGTGACCATTAATTGATCATAAGTGATCGTAAGATTGTGATCATTAAGTGATACGTAATTACAATAGCGATCATTAAAACATTTAACGTTCGCTGTTCGGAATCAAATTTTTAGTTGAAGACTTGTTCAAACGCCCTTCATATTAACACCAAAACTTAACAGCATAAAGTATTCCGGTATATCCGGCAGGATATAGTATATATCCAGCCGGATACCGGATACTAAATTATCCGGTATCCGGCAAATATGCAAATTATGCCGTGAGATAGGCCATAGTAAAAAAACATGTTTTAAAGTAAATAAAAATGACATTGTTAATACTTTGTTTATGCATGGAAGTATAAAACAGAAGAAAGTTCATCGAGCCGCAAACATCAAAGCAATTTCAAGTCGTCTTGGGAGTATGCTTAGAGTATGCTTGTAACCGACAATAAAAAAAAAAACAAGTTTCACTGGATAAAAAAAACAACAAAATTTACTGAAATGATCTTTATTAAAACATTAAAAAATGAATTATTCTAGGGATATGTTGCAAATTTGTAACTATTAGTAATTGCAATTATTCAACAAAAAATTTTTTAAAACACGGTAATTAAATAGAACCACTTGATT